CAAAAGATAAGCCAGAGAACCAATCTTCTCAATAGTGAATGACTTCTTGAATAAAGATAATTTTTATGAAACAACCGTATAAATATAACTGCTGGTGCTATGATTGGAATAAAAAGGAATTGGAGTAAGGGAACAGAGCAAAATTCATAGGCAAGCTATTACCAGAAAGAAGTGAAAGCAAGAAGATGACACAGTGCTGCAGGAAGGCATCATGTGGTTAATTTTGTAGAACAAGACCTTTAAATTAAAATGGTATCTTTATGGCACTTTGGATAGAATAAGGAATGTCTGTTAAGACCTCTTATCCCATTGAGAATTACCGACTGTCTCTTGGCAAAGGAATTAGGAAACCTAAAGATTTTGACTTATTTTTACAAAGACAGGTGTTCCAAATTGCCTCCTTTCCCTGTGACAGTAGACTGTCAGTACTGCACTACCTGCTAGAGCTTTTCCAGATGTCCCTGGGTGATGCAAACGATTAATGCTCTTGGCTGCTAACTGAAAGATTGGATGTTAGCGTCTGCCCTGAGGTGCCTTGGAAGGAACGCCTGGTGATCTACTTCCAAAAACTCAACCACTGAACACCTTGTGGCTCACAGTTCTATCCTGGCCCACGCAGGGTCACCACGAGTTGGATTGACTTGATGGCAAACAGGTTTTTTAGAGCTTTTTGGGTTTTTCAGAAAAGCTAGCACACTATTTCTCCCTCCAAAGTAAAGGAAATGTTTTCTCTGTTCCTATTTAATGTCAATTGTTAAAAAAGAGAAAAGAAAAGAAAAGAAAGCACATTTCTATTTTTCTGCCAAGTAAGGGGAGACGTGTAAAATCAGGACCTGTATCAGCACCAAAATACTGAGAACCGATTTCTTGTTGTCAGACCTCTCCCCAGTTTTGTCTGCTGCAGGCTTCAAGCAGGGCTGCTTTTTAAGAGGCCCATGCTTGGCGGGAGTCTTCTGAAAAGTGGATGTTTGGAAGCTGTTCCATCGTTTGTGATTTGGTTGCTGTGAAGCATATCCATTTGCATACTTCAAAGACTTGAAAAATGGATTTTCCAACTTACTTAAAAATCTTCCAAACACAGCTCTTCTGTGGACTTGAACTCATTTGTTAAAAAAATAAAATTGCAATTCACTGATGAATTTGTAAGACCAACCAACTGACCTCAGAGAAGGTGGAAACTTACTGGCCAAATGTCAATAAAAGCCTTGCATGGATGTCATGGTTTTCTAAGTGCAAAAAATGAGGAAGATCTTCCATCTTGATCTGGGCTACTTTGTTGGCTCTGACAGCCATGAAAACTGAGCATCAAAATAAACAGAACTTAGAACCAGACTACAAACTGCTGTTGTCCAGATGTTTAAAAAATAAACTATATTTGTGTGAAATGTAACCTTTGGGAAAACTGGGGCATAGGTAAATAGGACTTCTCTGTCCTATCTTTGCAACTTCTTATAAATCTAGGATTATTAAAAAAAAGAAAAGTAACAAAAAATAAAGCATGTTTAACCACATTATGTAGCATAATATGAATACAGTATATACATATACACATATACTGTATATTATAGAATACAGTATACACAGTATATACATATACTGTATATTATAATTATATGTAAACAAAACAAACTCACTACCATTGAGTTGATTCTGACTCACAGAGACCCCTATTGGGTTTCCAATAAATAAAGAAATCTTTATGGAAGTAGATTGTCTCATCTTCCTTCTGTGGATCAGCTGGTGGGTTTGAACTGCTGACCTTCTGGTTATCTGCCAATGCCTTATCCACTATGCCACCAGAGCTCCTTATTATATATATAGTTATATATATAGTGGCTGCAACAATAGGCTCAAACATAGCAATACCTTTGAGGATGATGTGAGACCAGGTGACGTTCCACTCTTTTATACGTAAGGGTGCTGTGAGTCAGAGCTGACTAAATGGCACCTAACATCAATAGTATATAGTTAGTAAGAAGTTTTAGTAGAAGCAGGGTGGCTGAGAGGAAGATGGTAAGAACAAGGGAAGGAATTACAGCCAAGAAGATAGCTGTCTAGGGTGATGGCATGGGGGACAGGGCGTACAGCTGCGGAGTGGACTGGGCATCTAGAAGGCACCTCACTGTCAGCGAGGGTGCCAGAGGAGCCCAAGGCTGTCCAATGAGATCTATCTGTATCTTCCCTCTTCAGCCTCCCCAGTGATTGAAAATGGCCAGGTGGAATGTCCCCAGGGCTATAAGAGGCTGAACCTAACTCATTGCCAAGGTAAGGCTGAGTGGGGGCAGGACTGAGCCTGGGGATGATAATGATGGGGGCCGGATGATGCGGGTGCACCGACCCCACCCAGACAGGGGGCGTGGTTTGCACCTGCCTGGGTGGTCTCCGCTGGCGCCTTGGGAGGAACTGTGGGAGCAACTGGTTCCAGGGACCTAAGGAAAGCAGGGGACTTGTTTGAGTAATGGAGGGAGCTGGGGAAGGGCTTAGGGGCTGAGCCCTCCTCTCTCCCCATCTCCGCTCACTCCCACCCAGTACATGGGCCAGATGCCTCTCAGGAGCTAAGTGATGCTGTGTTTGAAGGGTGCCACCGTCAGTTTTTATTTTATTTTATCTTTATAATAACTCTCCCTGGTAGGTACCATTATAATCCCCATTTTACAAATGAGGAAACAGAGGCACAGATAGAGGGGTCGTATTTAACAAATGACAGCCATTTTACTGTTTTATTTGGAGAAAGGATTTTAAACCTTCTGCCTCAGCCCCTCCCCTCCGTCAGGTCTTGGTGGTAGGTGCTGGATCATCCTCTCATCCCTGCAGATATCAATGAGTGCTTGGTTCTGGGCCTCTGCAAGGACTCGGAATGCGTGAACACCAGAGGCAGCTACCTCTGCACGTGCAGACGTGGCCTCATGCTGGACCCATCACGGAGCCGCTGTGTGTGTGAGTGCTGGCAGGGGCCAGGGGCGGGGACACTGACAGGCAGGATGGGGCCCTCAGAGCCCATGGGCCAGGCCCTGATCAGTAATTTTCCCCTGACCCCATCATCCCCTGCCCAAGGCCCGGTGTCTGCTCCTCAACCTGGAGTTGGGCCCTGTGTACACAAGCTTACCTGCTCTTCTTGCTGAATGTAGTTACTGCCTCACTTTTACTTTAGGGATTTCTTCTTGAGCTTTACAGTTTGGAATTCATATTTTCTATTTCTTCTGGTTTTTCTTTCCCCCTAATAATTTCTGTGCCATTTGCTGTCTCATTTCCTTTGGGAGGGTCTATGTTACCTCTGCAACCCAGAGATATTGCTGCCTCTTCTGTCCCGATCTCAGTGGCCTGGTCACTTGGCTGCAGACCTCTCTTAAAGGGCCATGGCATACACCAAGCCTGACCTTACCATACATTCTTAGTGCTGCTGCCTGGCCTTTCCATAATCCTGTGGTCCCTTGTGCTTCTGGGGGACCCTCTGTGTCCAGGAGTGCATATGTGTCACACATCGCCCATACTGACGCTACGTATTAGCATCAGGTCCCTGTGTGATGCATGCACACCAGACAGCTCTGTTCCCAGTGACCCCTGTGGCTTTCAGCTGGGAGAGGCCCAGGCTGGCAGCCTCTGCTCCAGATGCAGACCTGACGTCGCCTTGGCCCAGACGGGACTTTCCTAAGGCAGAGAGATAGGACCAGAGCTGAATAAAACCAGTCCTGACTGGCTTCTGAGAAGCACAGCCCAGGGCTAGAACAGGTCGTTCCCATAGCTCAGCAGAGCCCCCTGTGGACGGCCAAGCCTCAGCCTACAAGCTGCTGGTACTGGGTCTGGGAAGGCTACAGGGATGGCCAAAGCTCTGGGGTTGTCCTAGAGGTGTGCCCACGTGAAGGGGAAGATGAGCCTGGATCCAGCACCTCCAGTGAGAGGACGTAGTGAGAGCCTTAGGATGAAACACCCAGAAAGGGAGGGCCCAGGCTTCGGAGAACAAGAAGTGCATGCTCAGGACATCTTCAAGGAGGTGGAGACCTTGGAATGGAGGCCTTGTTGGCATGTCATGCTTCCTTCTCCCCTACTTCACTTAACACCAAAAAAAGACCAAGCCTATTGATGTTGACTCAATTCTGACTCATGGTGACTCCATGTGTTACTGAGTAGAACTGCTCCATAGGGTTTTCTTGGCTATAATCTTTAGGGAAGCAGATCGCCAGGCCTTTCTTCTGCAGTGCCACTGGGTGAATTTGAACTGGCAACCTCTCGATTAGTAGCCAAGGGCAAACCGTTTGTGCTTCCCAGGGACCTTCCCACCTCATTCAGGATTCCTGTATCAGGCAGGCACGTTTAAGATGTGGGATGACATTTTTACTTACTAGTCCCAGGAACGAGGCCCTGTTTCAGCTAATAGAAGGAAGCAGGGATGGCCCTTGGGTGTTCTTTATTTTCTGTCCCTCCCCAACGTCACTCCCTCTGGGGGGGCAGGCATGACATTTCTCTTCCCTCTGTTTCTGGGTGTTGCCCTCCCTCCCAGTCACCTGACCATGGCCATTACAGCAGTCTCTGGAGACCTCTCTGCACTGGTCCAGCGTTCTGATGGGCTCTACCCTGGGAGTCACCGGGACAGAATGAGCCCTTCCCTGTAGTATCCCAATGAAGCAGCTGCTGGAGGCAGAGATTGCACCTGGAGATTCCGGGATTGTGGACTGAATGATAATTTACCTGTGCGTAACAGGTGGCCTTTTATAAGACACTGTTACATACATCAAAGGAGCTCTGGTGGCGTAGTGCCTAAGGCATTTGACTGAAGCCTGGTGCTTCAAACCCACTGGCCACTCCTCAGAAAGAAGATTGGGCAATCTGCTTCCGTAGTGATACTGCCTCAGAAACCCAAGGAGGGGTCGCTATGAGTCAGATCCAACTCCACAGCAGTGAGGTTTTTTTTTTTTTTTTTTTTTTTGTTACATATGTCACTTTAGTTAATCTCCATGACAACACCGTGAAGGAGTTATGAGTCAGGAGTCTTTGTGTTGCAAGAGACAGAAACCCAGCTCAGACTTTTTCCAGCAAAAAGTACAACTAGAAAGACTAGGGGGTAGATGTGGCTTTGGGTTTGGCTGGATCTAGGCACCCACAGTATCTTTATCACATTTCTTGTTCTGTGGCAGGAATATGGCCTCAGTCTTAAGAATGCTAGAAAGTAGGGTCAGCCCCATTCCAATCACAAGGGCCAAGAGTGGGGATGGGTGGTTGCCATAGGAAAATCAGGGTGCTGTTGTCAGAAAGCATGACATAGATGCCAGCAAGGCAGAAATGACAATTGTCCTGTCCTCACAGGATTGTCATTATCATCCTTATTTTATACACAAAGAAGCTGAGGTGGAGCAAGGATTTGAACTTGGTCTGCTGAGTGTTGGGTCCGGCATCATCCTTTTCTCAGCTTTGATTGTTATCCTCTTCACTCCACCCCTCATCCCCTCAGAGTCTGCCAGCCCTCTATGGATTCAGACCCTTCCAACCTGGTATGGCCACCTCATCTTCCACTGGGGTCATTTATAAGAGAATATTCTTTAATCTTCACTATCCAAATACAAGAAAAGGGACCATTGTAGTGGTATTATTATTATCTGAACCAGCATAACTGCACAGTATTTTGATTCATCGATTCATTTTTTGATTGGTTTGTTGGTCTAGCCTCTACTTCCCTGATGATGTCCTGAGCATGCATTTCTTGTTCTCTGAAGCTTGGTGCCCTCCCTCTCTGGGTACCTTGTCCTAAGGCTCTCACTATTTCCTCTCACTGGAGGCGCTGGGTCTAGGCTCATCTCCCCCTTCACATAGGCACTCCCCTTGGATCACTCCAGAGCTTTGGCCATCCCTGTAGGCTTCCCAGACCCAGTACCCAGCAGCTTGTAGGCTAGATCTAGCCATCCACCCACCAGTGCAACAAGCATTCACTAAGCATCCACATGTACCAGACACTGTGGAAGGGATCTGGTTACAGAGATGACCGAGACAGGGTTCCTATCCTCAGAGCTCCCATCAGGTCTCTTTGGCTCTCACCTTGTCTCATGTCCCCAGGAAGACTGTGGCCGTCTGTGCACACCACACTCCACTCAACCCCAGACACACACTGGGCTTTGGGGAATAGCCTGTGACCATAGCACAGCAGCCACATCCTCATTTCCTGCTCTCAAGAATAGGACGGGGTGCTCAGGTGTCCCCCTGCAGCTATTCCTCCAAAATTCTTGTGGGCATCCTTGGGGTTCCAAAGTTCCAGCTTAAGGTGTGGGCCCAGACAGTCCGAGTGCACATGGCTCTACCTCCATCCACGGCCCTCCCTACTTATGTGTCCCCCTCCCACTGCCACCTGCCCACCCCTACATGCTGTGTCTTTCAGCTGACAAGGCCATCTCCATGCAGCAGGGACTGTGCTACCGGTCACTGGGATCTCACACCTGCACCCTACCTTTGGCCCAGCAGATCACCAAGCAGATATGCTGCTGCAGCCGTGTAGGCAAAGCATGGGGCAGCAAGTGTGAGAAATGCCCCCTGCCTGGCACAGGTAACCCTCTGCCTCCACCCACCTCTAGCCACCAAAGTTGGTGGCCATTTTCCCCAGCCTGGGCGGGCCTCCCTAAAGCTAGAGGACTCCCAACCTTCCCTCCCTGCTCAACCCCTCATCCCAATTTGGGTCTCACTCCTTACTACCTCAACTGCCTATCCCCCAGAGGAGGGAGGGATAGCCCTGGTTTCCTTCCAGAATGGCACCTCTCAGCTTCTTTCCTGGCACTGACCTTGCAGAGGCCTTCGGGGAAATCTGCCCAGCAGGCCACGGCTACACTTACTCAAGCTCAGACATCCGCCTGTCCATGAGGAAAGCTGAGGAGGAGGAACTGGCCAGGCCTTCCAGGGAGCAAGGACAAAAGAGCAATAGGACCCTGCCCAGGCCAGCGGAGAGACAGCAACTCCGGGCAGCCACCAGCACCTGGCTTGAGACCGCGACCATCCCTGACAAGGGTATCTGGGCCGGGATGGGATGCTTAGGGGATTCCTCCTTCCACTGCACTCCAGTGTCTATCCTGGGTGTGTATCTTAGTTTATCAGGGGCATTGGGAAAGGGAACTTGAGGCAGCAGCACCCCACCCTGGGAACCCTCTCTCATGGCCTGGCCTGCTAGGAAGGGTTCTACCCCCTCCTCCCCAACATGGGCTCAAGAGGTACCCATGTCCCAGGAAGTTGCTTCTGGAGGTAGGAGAAGTCAACAGCAGCCCCTACCCCAGCTGACCAGCCTCTCCTGGCCCACCTCCAGCCATGCATCTTCTGGGGCTGATGCTACAAGGCCTGGAGAGCTGGCAGATGGGTCCTCGGGAGCCTGAGTAGTTTGGATTCCCTCCCCTGGCCTTAGAGCCAGAGCACTACTCCAGTTCAACTTCTGTGGACCCAGCAGGCAGAGGGTTGCAAATAGCCTGAGGTTGAGGTACCCTTGGCAGGTGCCCTGGAAACACATGGAGAGGCATGCCTGTGTGACTGGTGGCACTGGCATCCAGGTGGCCAGGAATGTATCAGGACCAGGTTACCTATGAGTTGGCCAGCATCGTCTCCGGGAATTGGGAGCAGACATCAGGGAAGGCAGGACAGAGCCCCAGCCATCATGAGCAAGCCATGAGCAACTCCTCTCCTTCCTAGAACTGGTACCCCTGGCCCATAGTCCACTCTGGGAGCTGAGTGACTATGTGTGGCTGGGGGTGCTTGGAAGGGAAGAGGTGTCAGTGTAAGGAGGTGGATTACAGCTAGGACTGATGGGATGGAGTAGCATAGGGTGGATGGGAGACACCTGTCACTGGGAAGCCTTAAAGGAAAGCTGGTAAGAGGCTAAGGCCCTCTAGACCTGGGGATTCTAGGAGTATGTGGTGACCAGTCCCAGGGATGGGGGCTACTGAGGGGTGAACATGTAGGCAGGCAAGAAAATCCAAGCTCTCCCTGCTGCTGGTCCTGTCAGGGACAAGGTCAGAGGGTGTAGTGTCTGGGCCAGCCCAGGCCATGGGTGGGAGAGGGGAGCGTAGCCAGATTTCCGCTGAGCTCACACTGTCATCTTTCCCTCCCCAGGTGATTCTCAGGCTGGCCAGGTGAGTGAGTGAGTGCTCCCACAGGGAGCTAGGTTAGGGTGACAGAGAGAGAGTAGGGACCTGGTAGCCACCAAAACCCCAGGACATTGTCCCCTGAAGGAGGAAAGGGAGAAAGATGTAGGATGTTACTTGGAGAGGTGATGAAGTAGGAGGGTGATCCAAAGACCCAGTTTACCCCAAAAGAAAAATAGCATCCGTTCCTATGTATGGAGCAGCTACTCTGTGCCAGTCACTGAGCCAGCTACTCAGCAAGTATTCTCAACTGGCATGGCCTGGAGTCCCTTCAGAAAGGAAGTGAGAATGTACCCTGTTAATCCCAGAGGTCACTGCAAGCTTTGAACACTGCAGACGAGGTCTAGAGCTGGTTCCAGATTCATTCTGGATTCATTTGCTTAAACCTCAAGGTCTCCTCTTTGAGGGGGCGGTGGGGAAATACAGGCATAGCTGTGAATACCCTCAAACCACTTCATTGAGAAGGGGGGTCCTGCACCCTTCCCTGTGCTCAGGATTCCCCAGTAAAGAACTGAGTATCCTCTTAGAAGAACATTCCAGAAGAGTAAATCTTCTTCCCTGAATAGTCTGCTGGTCCCTCCCCCAGCTCTCCAACACACATACCTGACTGTTCCCAGATAATGTTTCTCTAATGAGCTGGTTCTCTCCTTGGATTGACACACGGTGTCCTTTCAGCCCAGAGCTCTAATTCTGCATCCTCACAGATGCCAGCTAGCTTCAGTCCCTCCATCATCATCTGCCCATTCTTCTCCTCTCATTTCCCCACTACTGCGGCTCTGCCTCCGTGCCTGGGTGATGGTGAGGGGCACCAGGTGTAGCACTGGGTCCTGGCTTCACCACACAGAGTCTGGGACCTGTTAGTTTAGTTAACCTCCAGAGCTTCCGAGTCTTTATCTGAGATGTGGGGATCACAGCTTTTGGTGCCATACTTGGCTGATCTTCCGTCATGTGCTGGACATTGTGCTGGCATGTTCTACCCACCAGCTCATTTAATACGTGGGGAGCATTGCTGTCATACTACCTACCTCATGGGATGGTGGAGAAGGTAAATAAGCCAGTGCTGTACAGTGCCTAGCAGAAGGCCTGGCACACAGTAAGAACTCATCAATACCTGCAGTGAATGAAAGAGAGACTGAGTTAGACAGAAAGCCCAGAGGAGAGGATGAGTGTGGTGGGAGAAAGCACATTACAGGGGTGACAGGGGAGCCAAGACTAACCTGCTCCTGTTTCTGTGCAGGTCACGATCAGTGTCACCCATGCACCGATACGGGTCCCAGGTGAGTCCCTGTTCCTGGAGGTTCCCAGGGAAGAGAGAAGGGATAGAAGGAGAGACTTTAACCTGGTGGTGAAGTCACTATATGTGAACTGATCCTTGGGGCTCATATAAGATGAGCTCATGAGTGACATATGTGAACGCTGTTTTGAGCTCATGCACAGAAGGTGCTCTCAGCAAGGGGCACCTTGCTGAGCAATGCTTTCCTGGCCACCAAACTCTGAATGGCCTGTTGCTGCTCAGGACATAAACCAGACCAAAGAGGAGACAATAGCTGGAGCAGGGTGGTGGAGTGCCCGGAGCACTTTCCCCCAGTGCACCTGTCGTACCTCCTTGAAGCTGTTTGGGCTCTTCAGAGCACCCTGAGGGTCACCAGTGCTGGGGGACATTCGTGACTGCCCTGCTACCCTTCAGGGCAAATAAGATAGTAATGTTTGTGGCAGAGCTCTATAAAGTGCTTTGCAAACAGAAGGAAAAGAATACTGAAGTGGAAATCAAAAGACCTGGGTTTAAGCTCTACTGGCCTTGGACAAGTGGCCACTTCTGTGAGCTTGTTTGCTTTCCTGTGAAATGGGGTGAGACTGGGAGACTTAGAGGCCCATTAGAGTGTCAGATTCTCTGACTTCTTTGTGGCTAGGTCAAGTTTCAGAAGACTAGGAGGCAGATGGGTGACCTGCCCTGGGACCCACCATTAGTTCTTGGAAGTCTGAACAGGAAGGAGGGAAGGCCAACTCTGGAAGGAATGCCTGTCCCACCTGCTCCCCTTTCCCATCTGCAGATGCCATGGGAAGACCTACAACACCACTGCCTGGACAGAAGACAGAGGAGCCCGGGAAAGAGCGAGGAACGCCCCCCACTGACGCACTGGTGACTCCAGGCCCCCCAGGTGCCTGCAGCCAGCCCCTTGAGGGCTCTTGGCATCCTACCCTACACTGTCTGGCTCTTCAGAGCCTACTGCAGGGCAGAGGCATGAGTGGAATTCTCTAGCAATCTCTGGCCTAGGCTGAGGGTCCCCGGCCTCATCTTACAAAGAGCTTGCTGTTGCTGTTTTGCCATCGAATGAGTACCCGGAATGAAAACGGGAGTCTCTTCTGGAGAGTGGTCAAGCCCAGGAGGGAAAAGAGAAGGGCTCTGTGGGGAGAGTCTTAGTACAGGAAACCCCCAGGGGGCCTCTCAAGCAAGAAGAGCTCATGGAGCGGGACCTCTGAGCCCGGCTGGCCTAGGCTGTTTACTCCGGGTCAGCTGAGTGCCCTGGCCTGGGCTGGGCGGCCTCCTGCCCACTGGGAGGGCCAATTTGCAAGGTTCTGTTCTTCAAGGTTGTTCAACCGCCTGAGAGCCTGTGTTCCCCTCCCTGTGGCCAACTACAGTGATGGGGGTGGGGTGGGGGAGACCCCTGGCAGATCCACCTTGCTCTGGAATGTGCTCTCCTCAAAGGCTTATTGTTTGGGGACTTGGTTCAAAAGAAGCAGGCCAGTGTTGTCGCTGCTGCTCCCTGTGCACGTGTGTGCTCACGTGTGTGCACACACAAGTGTGTCACGTGCAGTTATGTGGGCACCCTCGTGCACACTCTCCAGGGGCTCACAGCTCTCTTAACCTCACAGGCCCAGGTCTGAAGGCCCAAGTCAGCCTGGGGGAATTTCTGTATTTCTCCCAGCAGAGGGAGATACCTTGAAATTTGTGGAAAAGTCCAGAGGGGGGCCATCTGGCTTTCTCAGGCCTGAACCAGAGTGTCCCCCCTGACCTCTCCCACGACCTTTCTCTTCTGGGCTCAGAGGACTGCTCCAGGGAGTGTCTGCTTCCTTCTTCTGCTCAGGGAAGCGAGATGTGCCACTCTGCTAAGAGGCTTAGCTGGGGTGACATACTGAGTGTCAGACAAGGAAAATAGTCCTGGGGCAAGAGGAAGGGTTGGGGAAAGGGACTAGCAGAGGGCAAGGCCGAGGCTTAGCAGCCACTCTCAGCTATGTGGGGGGACAGAATACCCCCCTACCACTACCAACAGTCTTCTGCCCAGTTCCCATTCTTCTAACCTGCTGCCCTCAAACTCACCCCTCTGAGATGTTTAGAACTGATCCGAGGGGTCCTCACAAGCCCCCAGGAACCAGGCCAAAGGACAGTGCAGCCTTATAAATGGGACAGGGTGCATATTCCATTCAGCCCAATTTAGCGCCCCACTGTGTACCAGTACAGGCCACTTCCCAGGCAGTTCCCTGGGTCTCCAGGGTTAGCTGAGTGCTACAGGGTAATAGGGAACCCTGGATATGTGGGCTCCAGGCTAAGACCCCAGTGGGCACAGGGACTGACAGCATCATTCATTCATCCATTCATTCATCCAGCATCTTCTAAGTGCCAGGAACTTCTCTACTATTGGGAATACAACCGAAAAAGCTGGAGTCTCAGCCCTGAGTCCTGTTGAGTCTACCTCCAAAATGTTTCCCAATTTCGTGTCATCTTTCATTGCAAGGCAGCCCTTGTTTAAACTGTTTCAGCCGGTGTCTAGGGCCCCGTGTCTCCTCACCTCAGTCCGTCTGCCATCTTGCTGTCTGAGTGGCCTTTCTGAGACAACTCTGATCCCACCCACACCTCCTGTGACCCTCTTGCTGGCATGCCAGTCTCAGCATGGCATTAAATGCCCTTCTTCGTTAGCCCCAGCCTACTTCTCCCCCTTCCCCTGGTAGTCTCCCCCAGGCATCTTACTCACCAGGTCTGTCAGTCTAGGAGAAAATGGGCAGGTGTTGCCATTGAGGGGTAGCACTGGGCACTGTGGGTGAGAGTAGTGCCTGGATCCAGGGAGAGGTTGGGCTAGATGCACTTTGTGGGGAGTTGTGAGTCACTGGACCCTATTGGGTCTAGGTCAAAGGTATGTGCTGTTTGAACTCCATCCTGGTAGGGCTCAGGGCTCTTGGGAGAGGTCCAGTGGGGTCTTAGATGAAGCCACATTATGCGTAGATGTGGGAGAGCATTGCTAAGGGTAGGGTGAGACTTCTGTTGGTCCTCTGAGACCTCTGTACCTTGCCCCCCACATCCCCTTCACCCTCCCCACTGCCTTTGACCATCATCCACCTGCTATAACCTCTGTTCTTATGTCCCCCAGCCATTGATAAATGTGGTGCAGGAGCCACTAACATCTGTGGCCCTGGAACTTGTGTGAACCTCCCAGACGGATACAGATGTGTCTGTAGCCCCGGCTACCGGCTGCACCCCAGCCAGGCCTACTGCACGGGTACTCACCCTGGTGTCTTGGCTCCCTTAGTGACTGGGGTAGAGGGAAGTAGGGTGTGTGTGT